ATATATATACTGACAGTAAACATGTTAATGAGAGAAAAGAGATCTAATCAGTGTACTTCTGGTCCTGCATTGTCCAATCAGAAATCTGTGTATGTGTTTTGAGTTGACTCAGTGACCTTGACCAAGCTGTGCTGCTGTTGCAGTGGAGGTTCTGGGTCTGATGGGGGTTAGACAGTGCTGACTGGCATGGGTGTCGCAATTACAAAGTTGGCTTCATATAATTACAGATCCATTGACGGGTAGAACAGTTCCCTTACATGTATTTTAAATGTGCATTTAGCCGCTTTTCTGATATTCATACTCATGCAAAAGTCAAGTGTTTGCAGGTGACGGGTACACTTGATATACTTAATCACTGCATATGCTCTCTCTATGTTTATTTTAGAGACACTTCATTGGCCTAAAAAAGAACTTTCCAGAAAATCAGTCCTGAATGTTGAAAAGGGGCTAGCCCGAGAGAAGATAAAAGATGCACAGGTTCTGTCTATGACTGTTTTGCGAGATACATTCACAACTGGAACAAGCAGCTATAACGTTCTTCTTCAAAGTCAAGAAGAAAAGAAACAGGTTCAGAAAGATCCACTGCTAAGCCATAGCAAAAAAAGAAGGAAGGGGAGCAGAGTGATAAGTACACGCAGCAAGGAGTACCACAAAGTCAGTGCTTCTTCACAAAACAATGCCTGGTTATGTGCCCGGAGGAACATGTCAACGTTTATCTCCAGAACAAGAGCAGTGACCCAAAAATGTTCAAGTATTACTGTGTCCGGAAATATCATTGGGTTCACACATCGGCCTAAACCCAAAGCCAAAAGAAAGCAAGTGTTATCTACAGGAAAGGACACACGGGTGCCCAAATCTCTCCCAAAAGATGACCTCCCAGGGAAGAAGTTTTGCATTTTAAATGCTATAAAGCCTACAAATGTTGATAAGGAAAAGATCAAGTTTTTCAAGTCAGCATTTACTTACAACCCTCAGTTTGAGTATGCCAATCCTGCACTGCCAAATGTGTTAGCTAGACACAGCCATGCCTCAGACAGATTCCTTAAACAGGTATGAATCACTTTATATAAATCCATATACAGTATTTATATTAACAAAACAGCACAAACGTAATATAAATGACAACGCTAGAAAACATTTTAAAATGATAAATCAGTAGATGACCACAAAAAATATTGAAAAAGTGGAACCGCATCTAAAACATTTTTCTAGTTTTATATTTTGGTGTATTTGCATTATTAAAGGAGAACTATTGAGAAAGTAACATATACCCAATAGTTTGAGCCATCGTGTGACACTGCAGTTGCCACACGCCGGATCTATAGCTCGAGAAATGAGCGATCACAAACCACTGATCACTCGGCTCACGACTTCTCCCTGCAGAGCGTGGTGACTGTCATTCACCGCTCCCCACAGGGATTCTCCCCTTCCCTCTCTGTTCCTCTAGAGCTCATTGAAGGGACAGACAGGGCAGGGGGCGGGCACAGCTGGCTCTGGCTCTAGAGAGGCAGAGCCAGCTGTCAATCAGACAGTGGGGTGGATCCCAACAATATTGTTGGGATCTTTCCTAGCCGCAGGGTAGCTCTGCGCTGTCAGCATATAATGGGCATATGCTGACTTTGGGTCACAGGAGGACATCAGTAAATGTCCTCTTGTGACCCAAAATAGAACTATTCAGTGGCGGAACTACCGCCGGTGCAGGTGGTGCGGACGCACCAGGGCCTCCGGCCTCTAGGGGGCCCAGCACAGTCCCAGCGCCAGGTCGGTACCCAGCAGCCAGCGGGCCTCCCATCTCTGCGCCGAGAGTGTCGGATCATCCGTTCATCCGACACTCCCGGCGCAGAGACTG